GTCATAAAATACAAACTAATATCTTAAAATATTACTACACCCTGTTTCAGAAATTATTGATGGAACAAATATTGACAAGTTTTAACAGTTTATGAATATGAATACTGAAAAAAGATGTAGGTGACTTAATTTTCTGAGCACAAGTGTACATTCTGACATAATAAAAAGTTGTCATATTAAAAACGGTTTACTATCCAAATGAATGACTTTTATTTATGCTTAGATATGTAAAAATTTGGGCGTGGAACCCAGACCGAAGGTTCCCAAAAAAACTAGGGGGTTCGAAGAAACGAAATCGTTGTGAGTTCACCCAAAGGACTTCACCAGACCGACGTCGCAACGACTTCCATTCGATGAGAAAAAACGAAGTCGGAGCGACGCAGAGTGGGGCAAAACAGATTGCTGTGGACAAATTAATTTTGAGAACCCAAATTTGAACCGATTTCAAGTTTCTGTCTTTTGAATAAAGGATAATTAAACTTCGCGTCGATCTATCCGTGGCGATATTTTAAAAAGCTCTGTATTTTTATTTATGTTTGTTCAAAATGAAAGAAAAAAAATTACGTTTGAATGCTTCCACTTTTTTGGAAAATACTTGAAATTAATTTCAAATGCCTGCAATTATTTCAAAAATTATTCATAAACATTTTTCCATAGGATAGATTTTATTATAAAATGTATTACATTTGTTATTTATACTAATATATATTTTGAAAGCCGTTTTTTTCGTTTCATTCTGTTCGAAAAACTCGAGAACAGCTAAACCGATATTTTCGAAATTCTGGGCATCGACTCCTGACTATTCAAGGATGATAACACAGGCCGACATTTTTCAGACCCTGGGATCAGCTTACAATTTTCCAAAGGTTTTTGATGCGCTGAATGTGAATCCAGAATCAGTTTTGCTCGATTGGCTCAGGTGTTCGAGATATTTGAGCCTAAACATGCGAAAAACCCGACTTTTTGCTATAATCGTCATATATTTTCATCAAGAAAAGCTCGTTTTTTTAAGAAAATTTAATAAACCATTTGAAAGTAAAATATTTCCCCTTGATAATGCTGTTTAACTCAACGAGATATCTTGTTTTAAACCTGAGAAATTGTCCATTGAAGTTTATGAGTTTTGCGACATTACTTTTTTGCACAAATGCTTGAAAGATACAACACGAAAGAAACAGATTTGTGGTATACGTTTATGGTTTATTCAATTTTCTAAAAAAACGAACTATTCTTGATGAAAATACATGACGAATATAGCAAAAGGTCGGGGTTTTCGCTTGTTTAGGCTCAAATATCTCGAAAACCTGAGCCAATCGAGCAAAACTGATTCAGGACTCAGATTCAGCGCAACAAAAACCTTTAGAAAAGTATAAGCTAGTCCCAGGGTCTGAACTTTTTTAAATTTGGTAGGCCTGTGTAATAGATCAAAAGCAATTTCGATTTATCAAGAGGGCGTGGCACCTCCCATACAAACTAAAGTTTTCACACAACATAATTCTCAAAGTATTCATCGTCGAGTGCTGCAATTTAGTACAGAGATATATAATACCAACGCCAACCTTATGCAAAAACGTGAGAAATTCAGTTTGTATTGGAGGTGCCACGCCCCCTTTTTCAATAACTCCCATTTTTTCCATGAGTTTGGCGTCGATATTATATATCCCTATACTAAGCTGCAGCACTCTATGATGAATAATTACAGAGAAATGTTGTGAAAACTTTAGTTTATATGGGAGGTGCCACGCCCCCTTGATATATCGAAATTATTCTTCTTCTATTATCATCCTTTGAGGCTCTAGATTTAAGGTCCGAAATTTCAAAAATATCGGAACAGCTGTGGTCGAGTTTTTCGATTAGAAAAAAACGGCTTTCAAAATATATATCAGTATAGATGGCAAATTAAAAATATTTTTTAATTAAATGTTAACAATAATATAATATAATTATATTTAATTCACTGAAACATCCAAAATATCAGGCTAGACACGCAAGTATTGCGTTATGTAAAAGCTGTGACAGACGGCAAAGCTCATGCATATAATCTGGCATACATATGCACATAATAATTTTGACCTCACAGACGGCAGTTATGCGGATAAACGAGCCGCAAAGTCGTGGGTTCGAGTCCCACGGCCAATTAAATTTTCATTTTTTTTTTATTTTTTTTTTTCATTCTTTTTTTTATAAGTTCTATATTTTTTTTACGTTGCTTTCAGTTAGTTGTTGTTGACTTTTTATTAAAATTCAACTCTAAAAATTTAAATTAACTGATAGTAAAATAAAAAAAGTGATATAAAATAAAGCAAATGAAAAAAAATAAAGTAAAATTAAATATATAGATCAAATAAAATAAAAAAATATATAAAATAAATAATAAAAACAAACAAAAATTTCGCAATCGCTCTAACCGAGGATCGAACCTGGCAGCTACAGGCTTGTAGCCCGTAACTCTTACCACTCGGCTACCGCGGACGCGGAACCCGCGCGCTTTGTTTGTGTACTTGTACAAAAGACAACAGCTGACCAGTGTTGTCAACGAAAACTGCCCGGATCCGAGTTAATTCCCAAAAATTTCGTGCATTTATTCGGCTGCTTATGCGCATTTTAAAGAGGAAAATGCACGAGTCAAAGCAAATAAAGGCTGTTTATGCAAATAATCGAGCCCGTTTGTCAACCGTATAAGACGAGTCAATCTCGCTGACTATCAACTTATGAAGAAACATTCGCCGGAGTAATATTCTACGATTTTCAAGAGTTGGTAAACTAATAAGAAGGAGCCTATTTGTATAAGGTGGAAGACGGAGATCTGATTTCCATTTGAGGCCACGTAATGCAAAAATTAAAAATTGCTTTTGTACTGACTCAATTTGCTTAATATAATTTTAGTATTGCGGACCCCAGACACACGAACAATATTCCAGTACTTGGACGAACCAACGATGTGTAAAGAATCTTCGTGACGTTCGGATTTTGAAACTTTTTAGCCCACCTGTTAAAAAATCCAAGTCACCCATGGCTTTGTTTACGATCGATGATATTAAAACTCAATTTTGGATCAAAAAGCACGCCAAGATCATTTATAACAGATATGCGCTCTAAAGGAATACCGTTTATTTTATAAGTTGCCGAAACTGGCTTTAATCTATGAAATGTCATGTGCTTATATTTAGAGCAATTTAAAACTAATAGATTTGATGTACACCAGCTAAGAAACGAGTCCAAATCGTTCTGAAGACGATCCAAACAAGACCCGTCTGAAAGCGAATGCGTGAAACAAAGTTTCACGTCATCCGCATACATAAGAGTTTGGGAGTGCGAGGTAATCTGTGGCAAGTCGCAAGGTAAAAAGTAATGAACCCAAAAACTACCTTGAGGCACCCCAGAGGTGACATCAATCGATTTTGAAAGCGTATTCTTGAAGAAAACTTTTTGAGTCCTGCTTGAAAGATAGCTTGCGAGCCATATTAATAGGTGTTTAGGAAAACCAAGTAAGTCTAGTTTATGGATAAGGAGCTCATGATTGACAGAGCCAAATGCTTTACTAAAATCAGTGTTGATCACGTCAGTCTGCTTATTATTTAAAATTACTAAAGAAGTAAACTCAAGCAAGTTCATAGTGGTTGATCTTCGACGTACAAAGCCATGCTGATACGGCGATAACAAAGAACTGCGCAGGTTTTGAAGTTGGCAGGTAATAATCTGTTCAAAAGTTTTAGGAATAACTGGAAGCTTAGCTATGCCCCTATAGTTTGCAACATTTGACGTACTACCCTTTTCATGTAAAGGTATAATAAAAGATTCCTTCCAAATTTATGGAAATGACGCTGATTCTAGTGATAATTTAAATAGTTTTAGGAAGGGCACAGATGAATTTTCAGAACATTACTTTAGCACTCAACTAAGAACACCATCAGGACCCGGATAAATATCGGTTTCAATGCTTGAAGACTACGAAGAATAATATTATTATCAATAACAGGATTGCGAATGCAGTTAAAATGAGCTAAATTATACGGATAGTGACCAGATAGAAAACTTTTAGGTGAATAGGTCACAACTTTTTGGTATGATAAAAATTACAGGTATATTGACTTTTAAAAAATTATATTACGTTCAAATTGGCAGTTAGCAAGTTAAATACTTGCTAACTGAAAAAGAGCTTTTTTTTTTAAACACAATCATCCACAATGATAATTTGGAGTTAACTTTGACGGTTTTTTTTTAAATTTCAAATGAAAATTCAAAAAAAATTTTCAACATCAAGTTTTTCTGTTTCAGTTTGTTTTGTGCGAATGTCTCCTTCATGATATTAACGCATACAGATTACTTAGAGACTTCAAAATGGTTAGTTCATATGAACTACATATCTAAATATCTCTCATGGGAAATAACTAATTACTGCCTTGCCATCTGTTTTGGCGGGCAGAAATGCATATAATTTTGATAGTTTTCAATTTTTAATATTTTTGAGAATATTAATTTTTTGAACGTTGGCGTGTCAAATGAAAGCTTTTGGCTGTTTCTGATTGGCTGAAGCAGAAAGCTTTCTGATACAACTCTGCGTTGAACTGGTTTTCAAACGAGTTAAATGATTTAACTGGTTCAATTTTCCAACAACAATTACATGCGATTTAACTTGTTTATGAACATGTTTTGGTCATTTGGTTCAAGCCCATTTAACATGTTTAGCTCGTCAATTTGAACGTAGTATAGTATTAGGGTCTTGTGTTAAAAATATATTGTGTAAACAACTACATAATTTTAAGTTATGGTCAGCTATGAGAGAATTTGACTGGATTGTCACTTCTACCTTGTTGAATATGCCTTGGTTCGTACCCGAGTTTTTTTTTTTTGAACAAGCAATTCAAGCTATGGAATAGTAGCCATTTAGCTACTACGCCCATATTCATTTTCTTTTTGTGAAATTGGAAACATACGATATTCAACTTAATACAAATGTCTAGTTGAAGTTAAATGTGATATGTCACTGTGAAACTTACCTCCGATCCGCGTGACCATGATGCAACAATTGCATTACAGGATAGGAGCATCCGGTTGCCGATACACTGCCGTCCTTGCTCGCGTGCCATCTTTTCCAGCTCCGGTTGGAAGCCTTGGCACTCGAACAGTGTAATTTGCTGTAAGTAATGTATGCTGAACGCTGAATCATATATCGGCTCGTACTATGTCGTGTTTAGGGACGCCATTTCATATAAATTTTGGAAATAGAGAAAGTTTAGGCGATCAATTTTAGGCACCAGTGTTAAAGATACATATGTATGTATATTAGGGTGGTCCAAAAACAGTAAAGTCGGAATTGTAATGCTCTCACCCCCTATTTTACCCCAATTTTTTTATTTTGAAATCAAAAAATATTTAGAGGCCGCTCAAAGCGCTCAATGTATTTTTTTTTTCGTAGAAATGGTATTGAATTCTTGAAAAGCAATATTTTTCGATCGGAAAACTCTGGTTCTCTTCAGGAGACTTTCAGTAATAATACCCAATTGTTTATTTAACCATTTTTTAATACTAATGATTTTTTATTGGCGCCCCCATTGCATTTTTTCGGGGTTTTTGTGGGCTTTTGGCGGATCTATAAATTATAGTTGCGATGAGAAAATGGTTACATAAACAAGAGAGTATTATTATTGGGAATCTCCTGCAGATAAACAGAGTTTTTTCCGATAGAAAAATATTGATTTTTAAGAATTCTATACCATTTCTACGAAAAGTTGATTTTTCCCCCTATAAAATACACGGAAAACTTTGGGCGCTTTGAGGGACCTCTAAATATTTGTTGATTTCAAAATACAAAATAGGGATATATTTTTTTCAGTACAGAACAATCCTGGGGGTTGAGAGCATAAAAATCCCGACTATACTTTTTCGCATGCATTTTTGGACCACCCTAATGTACATACATACTTGCATATAGGTACATCTCTAGAACTTTTGATTTTAGTGATTATGCATAGTTTCGTAAGTATAAGGTCAAAATCGATTTATCTTTTGGCTATTTTTCTAAAGAAAATATATATGTAGTGTTCTATCCAATCTGAAACACTACCCGCTCGTTATAATCCCAAAACTAGCTAAAACACCAGTGAGTCAAAGTGAAGATTGAGCATTTTTTTTTTCTTTTGTACGCTTCATTTCCTTTGCCGAATGTGATTGGATGCTGAAAATTGTTTCTAACAATCTTAAGTTAATGCGAAAGTTTTCAAAGGTCAACATTTTAAGCAAGGACCATGATATTAAATCGATGAAAGGTTATTTCTACCAGTCAAGGTTTTTTATATGTTTTCGCTCCATCACTTCAGGAGTTTTTTCTAACCTCCAAACACATGGCGGACTTTTCGTGACAGCCAAAATTTTTCAAATATTGCTGGATTTACTTTAATCTTGGTATCCTGGGGTTTTTGTGCCCGCTGATTACGAATATGAAATCTGATTTTCAAAATTCAAAATGACGGATCCAATATGGCAGTCAAATTAAAAAAAATTTTTAATTCTTATATGATTGGTACCTTTGACCGCAATATTGGATCCGCCACTTTGAATTTTGAAAATCGGACTTCGTATCCGTAACCAGCGACCTCAAAAACTAAAAAAAAATTTGTTAGATAAAAAATACCGTCTCTGGTGATAATCAAACAATTTCTAACATGTTCGCTCAGTATTTTAAATCCAATTATTCCACTAACTCCCAAGCATACTTTGACTATCCTTTTAAACTAAGTCCAATTAACTCAATACATAACCCTATAATATCTCCCGATGATGTTTTAGTTTACCTGAAGTCCTTAAAGCAGTCTTTTAGTTATGGTCCTGACCAGATCCCCACTTGTTTTCTTAGAAATTGTGCTGATTATCTCTATGAGCCGTTAACAGCCTTATTTAATTTGTCTCTTAAAGAGGGCGTTTTCCAACTGTATGGAAGGAATCGTTCATAACCCCCTTACATAAAAGCGGTAGCAGGTCTTCAGTGGAGAACTACCGGGGCATAGCTAAGCTTTCTGCAATTCCTAAATTATTTGAAGCAATTATAACAAATCGGTTGACGCATTCTATCACTTCAAGCATTTCATACAGTCAACATGGATTTTGCAAGGGCAAATCAACTTCTACAAATTTACTTGAATTAACATCCTATATCTCAAAAGCATTTAGTGAGAGCAAAACTGTTGATGTTATATATACTGATTTCAGTAAAGCATTTGACAAAGTGTGCCACTCGTTGCTCATCTATAAACTTGATCTTCTTGGTCTTCCACCTAATTTTCCACGTTGGATCTCTTCATACCTCTATGATAGATCACAAAGGGTATTGTTTAAAAATACTATCTCTGACGTCATTGATGTTACTTCAGGAGTCCCTCAGCGTAGCCACCTAGGCCCGATTCTGTTCTTGCTTTTTATAAACGATATTTCTACAGATATAAAATTCTCCAAAATTTTAATGTTTGCAGATGATGTAAAACTTTATAAATCGTACGTTTCAATTAAAGAAAGGTCTTTGCTACAATCAGACTTAAACAGCATGGCTTACTGGTGTAAAGTAAATCTTATGCCTCTAAATCTTAAGAAATGTAAAGTAATGTGCTTCTCGCGAAGAGCTGTTCTGCCAGTTTCTTATATAATAGGTAACCATAACCTGGAACAGGTTTACAATTTTGTGGACCTTGGTATCACAATGGATCCTAAGCTTAATTTTAATCTTCACATTAATGTGACAGTCAACAAGGCTAAAGGTGTACTTGCATTTGTGAAACGATGGTCAAAAGAATTTAGTGACCCTTATATCACTAAAACCCTGTTTACAACATTAGTTAGGCCGATTCTGGAATACGGCTCGGTGGTTTGGAATCCAAGGTATCAAATTTACTCAGACAAGATAGAATCAATTCAAAAAAATTTATACTTTTCGCTTTAAGAAATTTCCTATGGGATTCTCAATATAGTCTTCCACCGTATACGAGTCGCTTAAAACTTATTAACCTTCCTACACTTGCCAGTCGCAGGGAAATGCTTGGTATAATTTTTATGGTTAAATTACTGACAGGCTCAATTTCAAGTCCGTCTCTTCTGGCTGAGGTAAACTTTAATGTTCCCTCACGCGTATCAAGACACTTTTGTCCCATATTTCTGAAAGCTTGTAAAATTTTGAATTGCACGACCCACTCCGTTGCTTATGCCAGGATTTTAACTCTCATTCCAGCACGTTTGATATATCAGATCCGCTTTTCAGCATTAAGAAAGCGATACTCTCCTCTCTCAATAAGTGAATTATTGACATAAATACATAAAATCAGCTGATGAATTTAGTTCTGTAGCTGAACAGTTTTAGATCCCGACACTTAACAAACTCCTGCCTATCGCGACTCGGCACAAAAATTTAAAATATTGGTTCCGTACGTCATGCGGACTGCGCCCCTCGTGCGGATGGGCGGGAATGGAGGGTAAAAACCGTTGGGATTATTATTATTAAAGTTCGCCATGTTTTTTGATATGAGAAAAACATCTGACGTGGTGGATCAAAACGGGCTTCAGATTCGTGTGTAGCGCCCTTAAAAACATATAGAACACCTAGTCTGGTCAAAAGAATCTTTCATAATTTTTTTGTACTCCTGTGTTATTTATTTAGTTTTTTTCTTTTTTGACGTTACCGAGCTTGAAAACTGAGTTTTAATTTTTTTATACCCGAGCATACTTGTACACAAGGGTATTATAACTTTGTTCACATTACGGTTGTTTGTAACAGCCAAAACGAATAGAGATAGATATAGACAAACTAGCCGACCCGGTGAACTTCGTCCCGCACAAAATAAATTTTTTGTATTGATACATTTTGGTCCAACATTTTCACCAACAGTTCATGTTCATGATTTTTAGTGACGCATTTATCTAATATCACGGGTTGGTGGTTGTGTGGAAGGCATATTTCCATTGCCGTCTTAAATAACCTAGCAAAAGTGTATATGAGGCGTTCCATACCAAAACGGACGGGGTTTACATTTCATGTGTTTGATTTGTTTCAAGGTTAATGCATAAACATAAATAATAAATAAATATGAAATTTGAGCTTGATTAATACATCTTTAAAAACTTTACAGCACAAAAACAAAAACTAATCGATTTAATAGTTATCCAAATATCTCGAGAACGGGGCGAGAGAAAAGTTTAAAAAAGTCACATATACACACATCAAAATTCTCTATAAAATGAAATACTTTTAAAATGTTTTTTTCTTAAAAAATGTTTCACATACACATTTTTGATAAAAAACAAATTAGTGTTTGAAAATATGCCCTCTCAAAAAAAATTGAAAAAAATCACAATGGTAGCTCTGCACTTTATTGTACTAAAAATTAATGGGCTACAAAACTGCATACCCCTACAATTTCAAAAAAAATAAAAAAATTTGAAAATTTGTAATGTACTTATTTATACTATGTCTCCATTGTGAGATTTAATGAAGATTTAGCCCTCTGACGAGATTTGACGTTAAATCTTTTGAGATTTATCATATAAAATTAAATCTCGAAAGGCAGTAGATTTAAGTTAAATCTTCGTCAAATCTTCAATAATATTGATCAATAAGTACAATTTGTTGGATGTGGCAACCACAAATTCACATGCCATAAGTCAAATGACATTTGTGTTTTCAATATACAGTTGAGGACATTGAAATCTAGCCTATCATAAAAACATGAATTTTCGTATTTTTAGGGATTTTTATATTTTTTTGTTAGTTTGGGAGGAAAATTAGTAATACATATTTACATAACTTTGGTTGTAATAAATTAAGAAAATATTATTTTAAAAACTAAAAATTTAGAAGAAATGTTTTATAGTAATATCATGCAGAGTCTTCTCCGCTTTCTATAAGTCATTTACGCGCTGCGACAAAAAATTTATAAATTTCGGTAATGGTTCTGCTTCGATAACATTGCACCGAACATCCTCTAGAACTCAGTTCGTATTCATGATATGCCAAAGGTCCACGATTGGATTTTCGGGTCCCTCCTATGAATAAGAGAGTTCTACAAAAATTTTTCTTTCCGCAAATGTTTTTTACCGTTTTGATAATTTTTCTTAAATTCGGGAAAATGATTCGGAATATGGTACCATTCTTTACACTTTCCAAACTATATATTATACATACATATTTAGCACGAATAAG